CAAGTAGTCCACTGGACCAAGTTTTTATGCAAATCTTTCCGAAGTGTTAACATTAGTACTCAGACACACAGCACTAGGAGGCTGGTCTGGATTGGAGCTCTATTGATTTCTTTTCTTTTTTTTTTATTTTGACATAAAGAAACACAAAGTTCAAGGGTTAGCTGGGGGCATGAAGTGTTTGGTATCGCTTATGAACAAAAACAACAACAGATGCAGAGGTGTAAAGTACAACACAGTTCGCCAAGAAAGGGAGAAAACAAAAGCGGTTGTTCCAAATGTTATTGAGCATTTTTAAGGAAACAAAAAATTCAAAAAAATAGACAGATAACAAATATAAATGTTATTGAAATGAATTGAATGTCAAAATTGTTTATAAGTAAACCTCCAGAAGAACTAGTTTTGTGTTTTGTATCAGAGATAATGACTTGATGACATATACTATTTTTATAACTAAAGTCTGCAGAGCTTTTATTGCAATACCTCTATTAGCACGAGGCCTCGTCGGACAGGGGAAGAAACAGGACACGGATCTAGAACACGGCTCTAATGATTTTCCTAAACATGATAGTTGATGTTTATTGTTTGGAAAAGAATTACTATCTCTTTGGCCACTCTAGGAAAACTCTAGTCTGGCCAATGTAACTGTTTTCAAATTAGAAAAAAAAATAGACAAAAAACACACTTTCACACACTTATACCTATCCATCTATCTATGCATCTATATTATAAATATATATAATAGATAGATAGATAGATTGATAGATAGATAGATTATGTAATTTATTCATTAAAAATAGTTTTCTTCACTCTAGTCTGGCCGTTGTAACTGTTTTCAAATTAGAACAAAAAATAGACAAAAAACGCACTTTCACACACTTATACCTATCCATCTATCTATGCATTTATATTATAAATATATATAATAGATAGATAGAGATAGATAGATTAATAGATAGATAGATAGATTATGTAATTTATTCATTAAAAATAGTTTTCTTAACTCTAGTCTTAACGTTGTAACTGTTTTCAAATTAGAAAAAAAATAGACAAAAACGCACTTTCACACACTTATACCTATCCTTCTATCTATGCATCTATATTATAAATATATATAATAGATAGATAGATAGATAGATTAATAGATCGATAGATAGATTAATAGATAGATAGATAGATAGATAGATAGATTATGTAATTTATTCATTAAAAATAGATTTCTTCACTCTAGTCTGGCCGTTGTAACTGTTTTCAAATTAGAAAAAAAAATAGACAAAAACGCACTTTCACACACTTATACCTATCCATCTATCTATGAATCTATATTATAAATATATATAATAGATAGATAAAGAGATAGATAGATAGATAGATTATGAAATTTATTCATTAAAAATAGTTTTCTTCACTCTAGTCTTAACGTTGTAACTGTTTTCAAATTAGAAAAAAAATAGACAAAAACGCACTTTCACACACTTATACCTATCCATCAATCTATGCATCTATATTATAAATATATATAATAGATAGATAGATAGATAGATAGAGAAATAGATATAGATTATGTAATTTATTCATTAAAAATAGTTTTCTTCACACTAAATCGTGAACATGTTCTATGACCCTATTGCTCCGTACACTAGGGAAGAGATGTACACTTGAAAAGAAAATGAAATGCCAATTGTTCTAACTTTATTGTTGATAAAAAAAAATCGTTTGTCGCAATAAATCTTCAAATGACTAAAACTAAGAAGCCTGCGGCTGCGGTTCTTTACAATACATTGCAAAAAAAGCTGCATCTTTACAACAGGAAGTGGACAGCGGACACTTCTGGCACCAGCAACCACTGGCGTGTCAGGGGACTCACCAATTTGCCCAAATGTCTTCGCCTGACTCACTTGAATGACAGGAGGGCACGTGACGTCCCGGCCCGGTGGTTAGCCACGCATACTCACCCTCAACGAGCGTGCTTTGATATGCTAATTAAGGGAATGCAAATAGTTAAGTTGCCCCCCCCCCCCTCAGCCCTTTGGAGATCACAGAGGCGCCCTTCGTCTCCCTTATTAGCATGCTTGTTCTATTCTAAGCACATTTCTTTGTACGAAAGTTTCAATGACAATAAATATCAAGAAGCAACTGTAGGACTAGTATGCCTGACATATCTATAGCTGCAGAGTCTTCTAAATAATAGGAGATATCTTTCACTCACAGTTATGTCGCTGTTACAAGTGACAAATCCTTATTTAAAATCTTTGGATATGAGAAGATAATTAGACTGATCCAGGGCTCAGTCCAAGTGTTATAGACGTTCGTTGACTTGTAGCACCAAACTGCTTGTAGACAACTAAATCGCAATTGGCGTATTATATTTTAACTAATAAAACTTGTATAGAATTTATTTTGTATATTCTAAATGGATTTTCATTTGTTGAAACACGTAGCTAACATTTACATTCATATTCCACCCTTCTACTAGGTACTAGTTCAAGACCTTGTAAGTAAGTGACTTGCATCATTTTCAAAGGGAGATATTCCTTATTTTCTTAGTATATTTTGCCAGCCAGTTTTTCTCAGAGCAGTTCTCTACATGTGTGTCGATGAACAGAAACAAGAGCATGTAGATCTATGGGACTGGTGATGTCATGTTAACTTTGGTTTTAGTTTGTGGTTGTAAAAGAGAAACAAATAATGTTATCAGAGACTGAATGCCTTTGACTTCCCCAGCAGATTTGCAGATTCAATAGAATCACCGACATTTTAGAACCTAATAATGCAAATCCTGTATACACACACAAACACATTTAAGTACTCATGACCCCCTTTAGTTGCAAGGCGACTATGGATACTCTCATGCGAATGAGATGAATGCCAGGGACGGAACGTAACTAGAAATATAACAAGCTACCCTAATTGTTATGTTATAGTTGGCAGGAAACAAGATCTGTCTAAAATTAAATTATGTATATTAAATCAATTAGAACTTTATGCTTTAAAAATATAGCAAACTAAACTACTTTATTTTTCATGAAGAGGACAAAAAAAAAAAAGACCAGTATAAACGCACGACTCTCCATCATCTGATCTATCCATTCCTACTCCATAATGTCGAACATAAATAAATAGATCTAAGTTTATACATCACATAAAACTAGATGGACAATAAAAGTGTTCCTTTTTTTTATTATTTCTATAATCCAGATAACGTAAAAAATAATTTTAATGAATACAAACTTAATGAAGTGATCTTTGCACAATGTAACAAGAAAATGGGATGTCACGCAGCACGAGTCTATATGAGAAATTTCAGCTCAATAGAATAGTGAAAAGTTGTTTTAAAAAAAGTAATTTAAAAAATCGACTTTGTTTACTGTAGAATAAGTATGAACTCGGCACTCGGCTTTTACATTAAACTTATTCGAAACAAATAATCAGTTGACAAGTTGCATCTCCTTAAATTTCTTCTTTACCATGACTTGACGCCATTGTCTTTAACTCATAAGTTTCTATAAAGACACTACCAGGACGAATAAGGCATCTCAAGTTCTTCTAACTCAGTTACATATGTCGTTCAAATTGATTGGAGAAAATAGCACAATGACGTCAAATTGCCATGCCTGTCTCTCCCAATTGGACACGCCAAAAAAAAAACTGCATTTAATTAAGACGAAAGAGAAAACAAGACCTGTCTCATCAGGGCAATAATGAGCTCGGCGGTTGGCTCGTCCTAAGAATGGTAGGAGAGGCACGAGACGCACACACTATTTATGAGGGCCGCCTCACGTCATAAATGTGTCAGGCTGAGGTTACAAATAACACTGACGTGTTGAGGGTGGGGGCTGCGAGGGTAGCTCGTGTGTTAGGATTAAAATGAGGTATAAGTGAAAGCAAAGTCCTCACAATTGAAAAAAAAAAAGAAAATATATACGTTCAGAGAATCGCCCTTTGCAAGGATAAAATCCTTTTGATATGAAGAAGCAAAGAAAGTGATAGCTAGACCTTACGATGGATGGACCCATTTAAATACTTGAAATACTTTTAAAGATAAAGCCTTAAAGAGCATGGAATAGAAAGAATCTAAATATTTATTGGCAATTTGGAGGCGCGGTGGCTGAGTGGTAAAGCGCTTGGCTTCCGAATTCTGGGTTCAAATCCTGGTGAAGACTGAGATTTTAATTTCAGCTCCCTTGGGAGCTACTGAGTCCACCTCGCTCTAATGGGTACCTGATATTGGTTTGGGAAAAGTAAAAGCCAAAAAATATTTAGATTCTTTCTATTCCATGCTCTTTAAGGCTTTATCTTTAAAAGTATTTCAGGTATTTAATCAGAATATTTAATTGGTGAGACCTACAACCTAAACGTCATAGTATTCTATCATCAGAAAAAAAAGCGATTCTAACTTCTAGAAGAAGAACACGACCCTTAATATTTTCCTCCCGTGCATTAATCTTTTTATTCCTATCAAAGACTAAGACACGAAATGTTCACACACACACAAAAATGGTTTCTGTTTCCTTAAAGGTTAGAAACCCATTGAGATGAATAGAAAATGTTTGGGTGACCCGGGGGGGGGGGGGGTGAATACAGGAAATGTTTTGGAAAGGAGGGGGGGGGGGGAACACAAGTGACAGGTTGCGTGCTAGTACTATAGGCGTGAGTTATGTTGAGAAAAAAAAAATTAGAAAAACTTAATGACATTGAGACCAGTTCTCTGTCTTGTCATTTTGTCTCGTGACAGTTTATTAAATATTATAATTAGATTTCTTTTCTGTAGTGACGACGGTCCAGCTAATATTTAGCTTCAATTTTAAATTAAAACAAAATTTTGGGGGACGAAGAGATATTGTGTGCTACAAACAAATTCGTAGGCGACTGTAGCGGTTTAGTCGTACTCAAGCATTAGGTTCCGAACTCGTATGTAGCTTTGCATCCACAAACCATCATGTGGCCACAATGGCAAGATTAGTTTTGCTAATAAACTTTGTAGAAGAATAAAGATATATGTACAAGAAGTGTGGCTGTGGTTTGGTGTACATTACAATGTACCGTGCATATCACAGACTGTTTTTCTTATCCTGATAAGAATTTGGTGCGTAGGTTTGTGCATAAAAATGCAAACTTAATTCCAAAACAATGCATTAAGCTTGCGTAAGATCAGGAGTGTTTGTTGCCCCTACATAAAATGTTGATTTCGTGGTGAAAGAGCTGTGTCGATGTCACATATTTTTTTTTAGATTCAAACGTTAAGGATAAAAGTACATGTAGAATAGTAGATAAAGTAGAGAGAACCAGGAGCAATCGTCTGTCTATGCATCTCTTAAGTGGCTATAGTATGTCTTTGTATCTCTTATCTTATCCTATCTTATATAATACAGACGTTACTTCAAAAAGGAAGATGATTACGTCCTACGCGTCATGCATTTAGTTATACATAATAAGTAATGACTTAAATTTGTCCTAAATTCTGCTAAGCCACTGTTGTTGTTTTTTGGCTAGCTCAGGCAACCCATTCCATGCTTTAATAGCGCTAGGGAAGAAGTAGCATTTGTACAAATTTGTCCTAGCATATGGGATGAGGAAGGTGTCTCTTAAATAGCAATAGTCTGTCTATACGTCAGTTCAGTGGCAATAGTCTGTCTTTACATAGCTTATCTTATCTTATCTTATATAATACAAACGTTACTTCAAAAAAGAAGATGATTACGTCCTACGCGTCATGCATTTAGTCATGCATATTAACCAATGACTTAAATTCTGCCAAGTCACTGGTTTTTCTGGCTAGCTCAGGCAACCCATTCCGTGCTCTAATAGCACTAGGGAAGAAGGAGTATTTGTACAAATTTGTCCTAGCATATGGGACGAGGAATGTGTCTTTATTTTTGTGTCTCTCATAGTATTTTATTAAATTTTGTTTTTGTATTTGAAGATTATGGTTCAGTTTCTTCTTCTTCTTCGTTCTCATTGATTATGTTGGAGTGTTCAGATGAGTAGACCAATACATGAGATGAAATGCGCAGTGGTTTCCAGTTTATGTATAATTGCTACTTTACTTTTGAGTCTTCTGTCCTGAAGGCTTTCTAAATTTAGTGATTTTACTAATGGTGTTACTCTAGTCAAATGTGAATATTCGTTTGTTATGAATCTCACTGCTCTATTTTGTGTTTGTTCCAGTTTCTTTATGTTTTCTTGAGTTGAGGGGTCCCAAACGGTGGATGCATATTCTATTATTGGCCTAACCAAGGTTAAATAGCATTTTAGTTTTATGTTCTTATTTGATTTATAGAAATTTCTTTTAATAAACCCTAATGCTTTGTTGGATTTTTTTATAGTTTCATCAATATGTGGATACCATGACAGTTTTTCATTTATTATAACATCTAGGTATTTTGTGTTTTTAGTCTGTGTTACTGGTTTGCCATGGATAAGATAAGTGGAATTAATTTGTTTTAGTTTTTTTGTTACTCTTAACAACTGACATTTTTCTGGGTGGAAAGACATGCTCCAATTTGATTCCCATTTCTGTAATTCATTTAATTCTCTTTGTAAAATATCTGTGTCTTGTGTTGTTTTTATTGTTCTATATATTATGCAATCGTCTGCAAATAATCTGTCTTTTGTTCCTGAACTAATGCAATTTGGTAAATCATTTATGTAAATTAAAAATAGTAGTGGACATAAGACTGTTCCTTGAGGTACACCTGAGTTTACTGTTATTGGTGTTGATTTAGAGCCATTTATTATTACAGTTTGTTCTCTCCCTATCAGAAAATCTTTAATCCACTGATGCAGTGGACCATTAATGCCGAAATATTTTAATTTTTTAAGCAAACTATGGTGGTGAACTTTGTCAAAAGCCTTGGAAAAATCTAGTAAGATAGCATCTATTTGTTCACTATTATCTAAACCTTTTGAAAAATCATCAATTAGTCCTATTAGTTGTGTTTCACATTATCTATATTTCCTAAAGCCATGTTGGTATGGGGTGAGAATATTATGTTTGTCTAAGTGGTTCATGATGTTGCTACATATTATGTGTTCTAGGATTTTACATGTGAAGCTGGTAAGTGATACTGGTCTGTAGTTTCCTGGATCAGATTTTTCTCCTTTTTTAAATAGGGGGGTGACATTAGCTTCTTTCCAGTCCTTTTGTACTCTGCCCTGGTTAAGCGATGCCTGAAAGAGTATTTTGAACACTGGGGCTAGCTCATTGCTTAGTTCTTTGAGTAATCTAGCTGGAATACCATCAGGTCCAGACGCTTTCTTTGGTTTGGTGTTGGCTAATAGTTTTTGAATTCCATTTTCTTGTACTACTATATCTTCTATGTTGTCTACTTGGTTCAAATTAAGAAATATGTCTTTGTCTCCTGGGGCTGAGAATGCTGATGCAAAGTATTTGTTTAGGATGTTTGCTTTAGTTTCATTATCATTATGTATTATGTTATGTTCATCTTTTAATGGCGCTATGCCTGTTGTTTCCATTTTCTTAGACTTAATGTATGACCATAGGTTTTTGTTCTTATCTTTAGATATTACATTGTTTATGTATTCACTCTGCAGCTGTCTGCTTACTTTTTGGGTTAGGTGTTTAATTTTTATATACTTTTTGTAAACTCTTTCTGCCTTGGTTTCTTTAAATTTTCTATATAGGTTTTCCTTCTGTTTACCAAGCTTCTTTAGTCTATTATTAAACCAGCATTTATTTATTTTGTTTGATGTGTATTTAGTTGGTATATGATTTTCTATAATGCTTTTAAGATTGTTTTTTAATGAAATTCCAGAGGTCATCGACTGGTTGGTTAATGTCTTTTTCTAATAAGAATGTTTGTTGAAAGTTTAATGCAGCTTGGTGTAGTTGTGTTAGGTTACATTTATTCCAGAGTAAGATTTTTCTTTTGTGTTTTGTATTGGCTACTGCTTTTATCTGACTGTGTATTTTTATGATCTCATGGTCTGATAGACCAGGGATAATATCATAATCAACTACTAATCCAGGTCTGTTGGTTAAGAAGAGATCTAATGTGTTGTTTAATCTAGTTGGCTTTTTAATGATTTGATCTAAACTTAGGTTGTGTAAAGTTTCTATGAAAAGCTCATTTATGTCCTTAAGGTTTTGGCGTTTATCTATGGTTAGTGTTTTCCAATTCATATCAGGTAGGTTGAAATTACCCATAATCCAAAAAACTGCATTTTTATTAGTCTCTTTAAGTGTGGTAATCTGATTACATAGTTCCTGCATGTATTCTAAACTAGAATTTGGTGGTCTGTAAATGCTGCCTATTATTAGGGATGTTGAGGTGGTATTAATTTTACAAAATGTAGATTCTAAATTTTTTGAGTTAGGTAAGGTAATTTCTTCTGCTATAAGAGTGTTTTCTATTGCTAAAAGAACTCCTCCATGATTATCAGCCCTATCTTTTCTAAAAATTTCATAATTACTATTGAAAATTTCTGCATTATAAATTTCAGGATGTAGCCAAGTTTCTGTTCCTGCAATTATGTCTGGTTTCTCACATTCTAATAAAATTTCTAAGTCTGCTGTTTTGTTCGTAATGCTTTGAAAATTTATTATTAAGGTTTTAAGGTATTTTGGTATTACTTTTTTAGTAGGTTTGTTTAGTGAGGCTGTTGTATTAATTTTAGTAGATTTAGGTTTAACAGGAGTGGATCTGGCTAGTGGTTGGTGAGTTTGTTTTGGGATGGTGTTTAGGATGTTGTATGGGTTAGAAGTGTCCTCATCAAAGGAATCAAACAGTCCTGATGTAAACTGAGGTAACCCACACGGTACACAGTGCCATGATGCATCTTTGTTGCCTAAGGCATAATACACAGGTGTATTCATATGGAGACATGATGCATGGTACCATTCATCGCAGGTGTCACATTGAATGGCTTTCTGTTTCATGGTGCATACTTTTTTGCAGATGTTGCATCTATCTTTAGATCTAGGCCCTGGATTTGACTCTACATCTCCTGCTATTAATATTAACAGTGATAGGTATTTATTTCTACTGTGTCTGATTGAGAACTTCCATTTGTGATGGGTAATCTTCTTTAATGTTATGGATGTGTATGTTAGGTTATTTTTGAAGTTTCATAGATCTAAAGTGTGATGATTGATTATGACTGTTTTTTCCTTTATAAGTTTAGTGTTGACTGAGGTAGATCTAGTTCTGTGTTCAGCTAGTGTGTATTTAGTAATTATTAGGATAAATAGCCAGAGCAATTTCATGATGACTGTTGTTGATTTTAGTTTTTAAAGGTCTAGTCTAAATCTAGTTTAAGGTTAAAAATGCCTAAGACGGCCTAAGTTAAGTCTAAGTCTAAAGTGAAAGCTAATTTACAATGACAATCAAATGGTTTATTCAAAATATAGACCTAGACTAGATCCAGATCTAATTCTAGATCAATATATTTATGTGTTTAACTAACTATATAGAATATTACTATTAGTTATTATTAGTAGTATTAGTAGATGATTAGTAGATCTAAATCCTTAATTAAAGTCTAAGTCTAAGACTGACTAGATCTAAAATCTAAGGATAAAATAATAAATATAGACTAAATAATATTAAATAAGGATTAGTGAGACAAAATAGTCCTAAACTAAGAGTTGTTAATTTGAATTAATTAGTGGAAATAATGCTGAATGAAGTTAAATCTATAATTTAAAGATATTAGTTTATTAGTTGAATAGCTTTTTAAAGGAATTTTGTTTGGTTTTAATACGACAAAACGAAAATTTTACTCATCTCTGATAACTGTAAACAGGGAGCAGCCATCTTGTCAAGAGCGCGTAACTCTATCCAGTTTCAGTGGCAATAGTATGTCTATACTTCAGAAACAATAGTCTGTCTATCTGTCTACATAGTACTTCAGTAGAAAGGGTCTCTACACAGCTTAAATAAGAAGTATATATCTAAACATTGCATCAAACGTCAAAATGTCCTCATGTGGGAGTGTGACTCGCTGAGTATTTGCGCATGTCTGGAGTCATCATTGAACAACTGAACGCCCTAGGGGGATCCAGACATCTTTCCCACTCCCTCATCCATTACCTTTTTTTTTCTCTCTCTCC